TTATGGAAAAAAATACCACTTTTCTAAGTTACGAAAGCGCTCTTAACAAAAATGAAACACTTAGAGGAAATGAACAACCTTTGCTCCTGTTGGTTGAGCTGTGTTCGCGTCCGCAAATGGATTGAAATCTTCCAGTCCTTTGGAGGCATTATTCGTAACTGAAGCAACCGATGGATCCTGTAAATGTAAAGAATTCCCAACACGTTAAAATAACCAACATAAAATCTCCGAGATCACTACCGTCGTCTGAATGTGTGTTTGTCTTGCATTATGAAGCAAAAACAATCTTATTCACAGAAGGAATACTTACAGCGAATGGATTTTCTGAGTCCCCAGCGAAGGGATTTTCCTCAAAACCGGCCATAGTCAAGCTTCCCCTTATGTTCAGGGAGCAGAAACAGCGATTTTAACCCTTGAATCCGACAATATAGATCACAGTATTTCCACAGAAGTAAGAGGTACTAGCAAATTTGCTTGCGCATGTGTACGTGGAAAACTGTCATGTGATTTGAAAAGGTGACGTAATCTGACAAATTGTTGCTAAAAATGGAACGCACGCAAAAGCTGTTAGGATGGGCCATATGGGCTGTAGAAGTGGTAAAAGCTTCGCCAATTGAATAACTATCACAAAAATTTCGAAAAAATCTCTCTGTCAGGAATTTTCAACCCCCCAATTGTGTCTAGTGTAGGAGATTTCTGCTATAATATTTGTGTACCTACTTATTTGGAAACTGACATAAAAGTTGGCACACTGTAGCTTTTCTGCTCGTATTTTTAGATTATTTTTTGTGTGATATTTATTGTCCATCTCCTTTATCTCTGCAAGGTGAGATTTTCTTCCGCCGTCACGCTTCCTGTCATGCGGCCAGCAGCGAGATCGTCAAGCGACTTGAACGTGATTCATTATCACAAGGTCGATCTTATGATCAGACAAAGCCAACGAACAACAGCAAAAATCAATCTTTTAGACGTCCTCTTGCAGCTGTGTAAACAGTTTGGTCAAATAAAATTATTCGCTTCTCACGTCAATAAGATCCTCTCCTGCTTTTTAACGAATTAATAAATTGGTCTACCTAAGAATCATTACATAAATATTATGGACGCTACATGGTATTTTATGCGACATACTGAGCGTTCATTTGAACTAGCGCTGGCCTAAGGATTGCAGAAGCACAGTAAAAATTTTTGCAGGATGAATGGAATTGGAGGTGGAAAGGGTAAAAGGGAAATTTTTTTTTTGTTACTCCAAATTTTTTCCGTAAAGAGCCCTCTTCCTCAATACTTTCCTTCACTAAAATCTTAGTCTGTTGTTCGCAAGGACTCTCCGCTTTAAGTAGAAAACAAATCAAAACACATGACTTAAAAATGACTTTCCTATTTCGATCACTAAAATGGTTTTGCAGCCTTTTGATTTTTCTCCTTATAAATATAATAGTTATTATGACGGGAAGAGCCACAGTCTTTCCTTTTTTTTTCTTTTTGTTATTTCTTGTGCTGAAAAAATGCGCGCACGCGCTTCGACTTACTGAGCGCGCACTCAGAAAACGGTCCGATTGTTACGTCACTTACAACAAGCAGAAGAAAATTTCGCTTTTGTTCCGATCAGTATAGCTTGCAAGTTAGAATTACCCGAAATGGCTTCGGTTGTTAGCGAAAGTTTTATTGTAAGAGCAAGTTATTCATCCAATGAGAAGGAAAGACCGATCAACAAATTGCAAAGACAATTTTATGAACTTGAAAAACAATGTGACAAATATTTTGATGACTTAGGCGATGTTGAAGATATGTGCAAGCAGGCCAAGAAGAATATGAAAAGATTCCAGTTGGAAGCCAAAGCGGAGAAGGAAATCGTGAAAAGAGATGCACAAATACATGTCAGGCTGTTCTAAGCTCTGACAAACATGAACGAAAAGATGAATAAAGCGGAAGGAGAAGATTTGAAACCACAAAAGGCGAAAATGCCTGAAGCGGCGAGAAGGGCCTTACTATCTACAAGAAGAGGTCAAGTTTGTCAGTTTGTTAAGATTGGGTGCACTTTTTTCTTTGACGCTGTTGTGGCGTATGGACTGTGTGAGGTAACGCAGCCATACTTCTGAAACTAGAACAGCCTGCAAGAGAACTTATTTCAATTCAGTTACCATCTCATTCAAAAGCATGGAAAAGTTATACGGAACTTGAAATTAACTGCAGTTATGGATATTTTTTGGTAAGTAAACTCCAATTTTTAGCTTATGTGTCTCCACAGATTTTTGTTATTTATTTGCTTTTTAGTTGTTTTATTCATCGTTTGTATGTTTGTGTTGGTTTGCGAACTATTTAAAAAATTGTTTGTATATCATATGATTATTGTATATCATATCAATTATATATGGTATCACCGTCTGGGGCGGCCTTACTAATAAGGAGGGCCTAATTGCATTAGAGTCTTTACACTGTAGAGCGGCAAAATTAATTTTTAACTGGCCATGGGATATGCCTAAGTCTGACGTACTAAGCAAAGCTCGATGGTCTTCTATTGAAACCACATATAAAGTTAATTTAGCTAAACTGATGTTCAAAATAGATAAGAAGACTTTACCTATATCCATCTTAGATACCACCGAAGAAGTTGACGTGAATACTAAGAAAAATCTAAGAAGTAATGCCAACATAAAAGTACCAAAATTCAATACATATTACATGAAAAACAGTTTTTCCAGAAGAGGACCTATCGTTTTTAACACACTTCTCCAAGAATCAAATTTAAGAAATATAACCATTAAGCAGCTCTCCTCGTTAGCCTACAAATCAAAGGCACTTTTAAATTTGAACTTTAATTCCATTTCTCCACAGACAGTGAATTTTAAGGACCCCAATTTTAAATATTTTTAGATCTTCTAATTTTGATAGGCTACTTTAATTATTGTATTTTACCACATTTCATTTTATTCCATTTTACGCACGACCCCACAAGCGTGTAGTCGCTTTAACAATTATCGTGCTTAAATAAAGTCTTTGTCTTGTCTTGTCTTGTCTTGATGTGTACCTATTACACAGTACACGGGTATTGAATTGTGGTTTGTTGACTCTGAAACTGAAGTGGATGGGGTTGTCTTGGTAAGGTACTTGGAAAGGAGACTTTCCGATCAAAAGTATCTTCATGTCAGAACAACTCCTATTTGAAAAGTTTTAACCACACGGAACAGTGGGAAGAGTTAAAAAGAAATAAAGAGAGTTAAAGAAACTAGTCAAAATTCCTTGCAAAATGATGTCTTTTTTTAGTGATGCATTGATTAGCTTCGACTTCATGTGTCTGACTCAGTTTTCCTGGTTCGCTCTCGTGAACGCGTTAAACTTGCGCTGTTCAAAACATTCAGGTTTTTTTTACCCTACGGAAAAACGACCATGTTGTTTGCAAGCGCCCTCCACGTGACCTTTGACCCCTAAAAGTGACTTGCATCTAATATCTTTTTACAATACCACTGCTGAGTCAAATAAGGTCACGAGAATAAAGGAATGATCATCAACTGAAGAAGCTGTTGATTGTAATACAAATTCTCCCTGTCAACACCTTGAGTAATGTATAGAGAACAGTATGGAGAATATACATACTAATGTTAGGGTTTAAAGGGTGACTTATAGAGAAAGAGCCCAAGAGCAAATTCTCTCGTGGAAACGTGTTTTTCGAATGTTCACTACCAGTCCTCAGTTTTAGAAACAGCGTCAAAGCTGAGATGCCCAACATATCTCTAGTTCGGCATCCTTCTTTATCGATTTATTCAAAAACGCATTTCGCATGAATCATTGCTTCCGATAAATTTTTAACAATGGTGTATTTAAGAGAAAGGAAAACAAGTTTAAACCATTTGCGTGTATTTCTCACTTCCGTTGCGAAGAAACTGTTTCTTTGTTTGTTGACTCATTTCCCATTATTTTATGTCAGTTTTAGAACAGAGCATTTGAGTTAGCTACCACCTAACGCACAGGGGTCACAATGCTATCAGCACAGAAAAATTTCACAATAGAGTGCAAAGGTTTTTAGGGGTTATGTTAGCGGAGGCTGACATTTTATCATTTGTGGTTTCGTTTAGTTCTGGAAATCATACGATTGTCAAACAAAATTGTGCTGAAGCCATCAAATATTCATATCTTTTGCAATACCCACTAAAACAGAAACCTGATGTTTGGGGAAAAAGGTTTGATTCGAGATATGTCCAATGTTATTTTTATCAGCCTCTGAATAAAGAAAAAATTATATACATGCAGTATTTTTATAGACATTTTTAAGTTTGTTACGTACAGGCAAAGCTGAAAGGTTAATTTAATTTATACACCCACTCATAATTTGCTTCCATTGATTTTTAATCTACGGCGTTGATTAGGTGTCTCTGATTCCACTGTAGATAGAATCCCGCTCAGATTCTTAGATCAGCACGACATCAGATGATGGCAGGTGAATTCAATTTTTTCGTAATTGGTCAGAAACGCCTTCAGTTTAAATAAACGATTTTATTCGACAAATTTCCTTTTACGTACTGAAGGAAAGCCCACCACTCACTGCACTGACGAAAACAAATAAATGAAAAACTTTCTTATTAATGAAACGAGAGACGGTAATTCATATGTTGCAAAATTATATAGTAGGTCGATGAGACCGATGGAAAAAATTACTTCATAACACCGAAGACGTACGCTGTACAAAGTCTTTGTCTGTTTTCAAATGCCAATGAGATTCAAACAAGGTTTTTTCCTCTAAAAAAATTCATTATTTTATTGTTTATCAGGAAGTCATGCAATCGATATTTGACAACTCTGAAAAGCAATTCCTAAAAAATATCTGCGTATTCATTTCATTCAGAATTCAACGCAGAATTAGCAAAGGTTAGATTGATCCTTAACCTCATTATGAGATTTTTCATGCCCTAAATAATAATAATCATAATAACAATTAGAAAACTAAGCTATGGAGACAATGGAAAGATAAGACACCTGCCTACGCAGGGCGGCTAGATCAAAATTTTCATCGAGACAATAACGTCATTATTGCTTATCGGCTCCTCAAAATTCGTTCCCTCCAACAGTGTCAAGAAAATTAGAAATTTCTGATCTTTCAATTCCTGATTGTTTAAGACCTTTTTGCTTTTAGTTACTTTACATTCACCTCCGACGCGTTTGAGAAAAACTCTCAGCTGGTAAAGTCATCAGTTATTACAAATCACACGCGAGATGTGTGAAGTTCCCCGATGGGTACCACAAGGCCTAATTTAGCCGCTAACTAAGTGGCTTGAATATTTGAGTAGTTTATTTAATTAGATCGCTCCACGTACAATTCTGCCAGAGCGGGAGACTTCATCCTTGCTGCAAAGCAAAGAGTTTGCACTTTCCAGCTCTTAGCTTTGCGTGCCTTGATTTTGAAACTGCAATCATGGCAGAGGTATCTACAGCGACCAATTGTTCAGTCGATAGCACAGAACTGGACAGTTTCATGATTAAAAATCCTTCCACTGTTGCAATTCGAGGTGACTCTGATAACCAAGATGTCGACGTGGAAAGTAAGCGTTGCTGCAACAGCCAGAGGTTTATCGTTGCTATTATCGTTCTTCTTGGAATAACGTGTTTGATAATTGGAATCGTTCTAATCTCGCTTGCCAAAGATAAACACAAGGGCGAATGTGATGCAAAACAGGATAAAAGTCAGCAGAGAAACCAAACTCAAACTGCAAACTCAGACGAGTGTGCGCCGTCAGAGGAAGCTGTGAGAGTGTCGCTTTACAAACTTCTCGAGAAAATTCAGTTCGAAACTTACGTCTTAAACCCAAATTTGCTACGTTTCAATCCAGGTAAGACACCCGAGGAAATCCGCCGTGATTTCAAACCCTACGATCCGACACCTTCCGAGATCAAACGAAGAACAGACGGAGCCTGGCGACTGCTTACGGAGATCAATAAGACAAATATCGACTCGGCCAAACTGAAGCCACGAGAGAGAAAAGCAATATCACAAATAAAATTCTATCTTCGGCACGTCTTCGGACATCCTTACGACGGAAATTACTACTCGGGTGATTGGATGTTGGGTCCGAATTTCTTCTGTTGGCAGCCGATCTGCGTTCTAGGAGAAGAAATTTCCGGTAGTTTACGGCATTTTGCACCTAAAAATTTAAGCGATATGGAGGTCATTCGGAATATTTTGGAGTCTTACAATAAATCGATTAGTCGATACACCCAAAATGTGAAGCTTGGAGTAAAGGCCGGAATGGTTGGTTCAATTGAAGAGTGTCGTGCGGGGATTGATTCCTTGAAGGAATACTTCAGCCATATTTACACTGAGAGAGAAGGTATGTTTCTAAAAGCGTGCAGCTGGTTTCACTAGTTTTCTTCTGTTATTTCAATGTTGTTAAATATTAAAAAACTCGTAATTCGCATAATTTCGAAAACATGATAGCTTCGAGTTACAAACAATCTTTCCCCACGGCAGATTATCACTTAAAAAAGTCTCGCGGCTTCTTTTAGTGCATACATGGATAAACATTAATCAGGAATAATGCGTAACTTCATCATCATTCTGAACTGAAATTAATGAACTAAACTGCTAGGTTGAGGTCCGATGTCGGAAGGAAAAGAAACCAAACCACTCAAAAAATTGCCATGTAGTTACTCAGCCAGATTCGGATTTTAGACTCTTTATATTTAGGCAGTAAGGGACGGTTTCATTGGCAAGCGTTCCATATTACACTTTTAACTGCCTATCGGCATCTCTTGAGGGCTTAAAAAAGTCATACAGTTTTTTTGTTTCAATTTGTAACAATTTAAGAACCCTCTCGGTAGTTGGTGAAGATTGGCGTGACCCTCTAAACGCGTGCTGGAATACTATCTAAGCTCGCCATGGGATATTTATACAATTTTCTATAATCTGGTATGGATAAGTTCTGCCAATTAAATTTACACTGCACGACTCACTGCTTGATTTGAGACTGAAAGAAAAGTGAAATTAAGTGTAAATTTTTTTTATTAAGAACTGCAACAGTCTTCGGATTCAAAATCATTACTTGTTAGAAACGGATTGTTTACAGCAGTTAATCAGACAAAAGACAATAATCATAATGGCCATGCTTTATTTATCAGCGTCACTGAAACCGGCGTCTTGTTGTGTAAACTAAAATTGCTGAGTCAAACTCTCAGGAAGCTGTTTTTCGGATAAACTTGCGCCATGAAGGTTTGTATGCAATAGCATTTATCTGCGTTCACAACAAAACTTGCGTCTAAGAACAATGTGAGAAAGGTTTCCCACCAGAATTGTTTTAAAGATTAGAAGAGGCAGATTGTCTCCTTAAAGTCGAAATATGATCTTAAAACAGATTTTGAAATTCATCAATCACACATTGCATTCAGACGGCTGCCTTTTAACGCTCTTTGATTGGACAATAAAATCGGCCTCACTCACCTTTTCAACTAATCAGAATTAGACATCAAACCATTCGTAACTCAGTCAGTTGCTTTCGTTTTTGGTGTTGAGTTTTAGTTCTCATTGGTATCCATGTGATATTTCAGTATCCTTCCTGCTGATTGGCCGTCGTGATGAAATCGATTTGTTCCTACGACACTCGATCAAAAGGCGGTCTATTTGTCGATTAGTTGATTTGCTTTTATCAACTGAGTAAATAATGTTAATTGGCCACCATAACGAGTTTCTTAAGCTGACGTTTCGAACGTTAGCCTTTCGTCTTGAGTAGTGTTTTAAAATGCTCCTATGAGATATCAACAGGGTCTAAATAATCCCATAGGGGTATATAAAAAATAAGAGACTGAATCGAAATAAAACATAAGATTATGGAAAATTAAGAAAGTACTTTTTGAAAAAGCCATGCGGTACATGCAAGCCAATGATAAAAAAGGAAAAATTCTCATACTCATGTATTTTTTTTCCTCCAGGAGTGTTAAAAGAACCGTTTGTGCAAAAGCTGCTTGATCCTTCTTTCTACGAAGGATTGACGAAGGAAATGAGGGACGAATGGAATAAACGCACAGGAAAGACGTTGGAGAGCTCCATGGAGGAATTCTTGATCCAGAATGTCGGTGCACCAATGAATGGATTATTTAGGTATTGCTGAGTAGACATGCAAAATAGATAAAGACAGTCTCGGTGAATTCTCAAATTTAGGATCCACATTGAAACATGCCTCTTCATGTCAAAGTGAGAGAAGCACCAGATTATCTGTTTCATCTCCAAGATCTCCTAAGAAATTCTCCTTACTGTCTGTCATACACTTCTCATGATGTTATTTGGGAGAGAATGGTTTTGGATCAATTGATAATCCCCTAACTTTTCCTATTATTATTATCGTTATTCTCATACTTGTCTGCTTGATATTTTTATTGATATTTTAAGGAGAAACTCACATGTTGATGGTCGCTAGGGGGTTCGAGCGCTGAACTTCGGATCATAAGGTCTACTTTCAAGCCCTAAAATGAGTTATTGTGTTGCGTTCTTTGGCAAAACGCTTAAAACTCTAACAATACCTATCTCCACCCGGAAGAATAAATAGGTGTCAGAAATTGTAAGCTATCAGGAAAAAGACGAATTCCTTCCGTAACTTGCTGTGCCGCCAGCCAACCCAACCGTGAGGGGCAGCGGCACTCTTTTGTCATCATCCAACTTTAGAAGATTGCTACTTCCCCTTCATCTACCTGTATCTGTCATCCGCCGAAAAGAGATGATAAGCAATAACAGAGACGTCAGAAACACAACACAATAATCTGCTGAGAGCTTGAGCGTAGACCAATGCATGCACGGTTTCTATCTCGATGCAACAATGTAATCCCTAACTTAAGAAAAACGCATTTTCGAAAGAATAGGTAAACAAAATATCGGTGTTAAAAACTGCAAACTTTAGATATCTGGCGTTGCATCTCTTACGTGGATTGTTTCCTTTCAGTTATCTGGAAAAAGAGCACATGAGCCATTGTGTTCCAAGCAACATTTCCAGCGGTCTTTTTAACCGCCCCTTGAAATACGTGTACATTGACGGCAAACCTGATTTCTCACAGCCGACCGTGAGGAACCTAAGCACGGGGGAGATTCTCAGCGGGCCTCAGACTTATGCCGGCATGTTGTCCTATTTTATCACAACTGATATGACCCCTGACGAGGTGTACAACAAGGGATGGGAGATCTTGAATCAAACCTATCCTCAGGTACTTAAGGATGAATCTATAATTTCTGTTGGAATCTTTCATCAGAATTGTTTTCGGCGAGTTCTTTGCTGGAGAAGAAGAAGCCGCCCCAAATTTAACGGGATTGGATAGAATATTCACGTGGAATGATTACATTGACAACGCTAACTATTTGGAAAAAGTTAGAGTGAAAGTAATTTAGGACTAGATCTTCCGAACTTTTTCAGGGTAACTTGCTGCTTAGCTTATCCTACTATGATCACTACTGGTCGCTTAATTTATTTATTTTATTTATTTAATCGCTTTCATCATGATCACAATGCTAAAATAAGACTAGGAAGAAGAAATACATTTGAAGAGGTCACAAGAACGAGAGACGAAGGTACGGGACACACAACAAAGCGAGACTTCAAATTAAGTGTGCCCTTAATTAGAAGGACTGGTTCTGTTTTAAAGTTAGTACTTGATCTTTTGTCTGGTACTAACATAATTCAGCTCAACGCACCGAGTTCTCCAAACACTCCATTTTAACTTGCAGCTTATATTTTTGCCATTATGTAGATCCTTGCTCTTGCGAGAAACCTCACCGGAAAAAAAGCAGACCCAGATGCTACAGTTGTGAAGGAATTCAAAAAGAGAATTACATCTCGAGACATGTACTACAACAAAGAGCCAATACCAGCGAATGAAAGCAACCAGTTGGCAGTTGAACGCTGCAGTACGATCGAAGGTGCCAAGGAATTTTGCCCGAAGAGATGGGAGGCTCTACAAAATTGGTTCAAAGCTTCTAGGGAGGTAATTAATGCAACGTTTAGCTGTATTGGAGCGCGCAATGTAAATGTCACTTTTGGTTGATGATTAAGTTTATTTAGTCATGGAGCTTGAAAATTTACCTTTTTCTGTTTCTTTTTCTTATCTGGACCCTCGTAATGACAGATTTATTTTTAAAAGAAGTTGCTTTAAATTTCCGCAGAGTGGCTAAGACGATTTTTCGGGATTCCCCCGACTTCGTAATTATAGCATTTACAAGAGGACGAGTGTCTCAAAATCTGAACAAATGCAGTAGCTTTCACGTATCTCAAGAGATATTTTCTTGTCTGGGTTCTTTCCTGTTCCAGTTCCTATTTTTTTTTTCTTATTTCATGTTGTATTTTCCTTCTTCAGTTTTCGTAGTCTCAACGAGTTTCGATTCCGTTTGTGTAAAAATCCCAAGTTACACAAAACACTCAAATGCCTCAAAATCTCAAAAAATGTGACATATCTTGATGGAAGTTTTCTTTCCTGTTTTTCTTCATATTCCCTTTTTACAATATTATTTCTTCATTTTCATTTTCCGAAGGCTATGAGTTTCTTAGAACCAAAAACAGTCAACATGTTTCATTTCACTGGTGCCAAGCAGACCACGCCAAGCTGCCCCGTTCAGCTTGCTCCGGACTTTAATCCTTCCTCTGCCGCGCAAAGCTACGAACTCAGTGATGCAGTTTGTTCAAAGAACTCCAGGTGAGGCGTAGGAAATATCATCAAATAACCAAAAAAGTAAAATTTTTGGGGACCCCTTTGTTTTGATTGACACAGCTGACCTTTCTCATTAAGCTAGTTGAAATTTTGTAGGTACAATGTTCCATTTTTCCTCGAAAACATGGGTCCAGTCTTCAGCGAATGGAGTGTCAATGCTCACGAGGCGAGACCTGGACACCACACTCAGGTAGGTGTATAATTACATTAGTCCCTTACAGTAGATGGACTATTTTGTATATAGTTTTCAGTTCACTGCTGTGGGAATGGAGAAAAAAAAACCGGCCAGCTCGGGTCTATGTATTGTATTCTTGAGCAGGTCGCTTTCCTCTCGCATTGCTCGTTAATAAATTATGCTGGCGCGAAAATTGCTACCGCAGGGGAGAGGGCGTGAAAATTGCTACCGGCCAACGGTCACGAATTCCTAACTAAATTCCTGGGGGAGGGGGGGGGGGTAAAAGACCCCTAGGATGAGCTGATATCCCATCCAGGGAGAACAACGAAACTGGGTCGAGATCTTTTGATTTGAAAGCTGATTTATCTTATGAATAATTATTATCGACATCTTCAGTTAATTTCAATTCCTGTCCTAGGGTCAAGGTTTTGTTGAACATTTCACGGACAAGTGTGGCGGTGTGATAGGCTGGGTGAACCAGATCTCTCAGTCAATTGCATTTTCGGAGGGCTGGGGACTATATGCCGAGATGCTTATAGCTGAAGATACTGATTCGTACGATAATAAGCCGTGGCAGAGATACGGAGCACTAAAATGGAGAGCAAGTTGATTTTTGTTAATACTTAACTTAGATGACGCCTTATCACAGTTTGCACACTGAAAATTATGCCTAATTCAATAAGACTGGCACTCACCAAAGAGCTAGATCGACTTTTTTTATTTTAACTTAAAAGCTGATGGTTTTTAACCTCGCAAATTTTTTCCCGCAAAATGAATACAGACAACTTTCCAATGTACAACATCAAATAGTTGTCGGAGACAAAATTGAGCAATCACTTTCACTGTAATTATCCTCAAGGCATTTAAAAGTTTTACCGCATGTATGAAAGTTGTTGGTGCTCTTAGCCTTGAAACTTTTTCCGCTGTTGTTGCAGTTTCGTATTGTTACTGCCATATTTCCTTTTTATCTTTAGCTTTGGCGGGCCCTCCGTCTTGTACTGGACGCAGGCCTCCATAGCAAGGGCATGACTCGCCGAGAAGGACTAGATCTATTGGCCAATTACGCTTGGGATACGTCCGATGTTGCGCGCAAAGAAATGACTCGATACCAGTCTGGCCCGGGTCAAGCTAGCGCGTACATGATTGGTCAGCTGATGATTCAACAGTTAAGGGACTACGCAGAGAGGAAGTTGAAGGAAAAGTTTGACCTAAAGGACTTTCATTACCAGGTAAAATATGGAAGTGTTTATAACTAGATGCATTTCTTATTGCGTTCACGACTATTGATGTTATATAACTGGCTTATACCATTGTATATTTGTATGGAATAGTTAAATTGTACTTTTTTCTTATTTGGGTACTAGGAAAATCAGTATTGCATTTATGGGCGAAAACTCACAAACTTTGTTTTCAATTTTAGATTCTCAACCAAGGCTCTGCGCCGATGAGTTTCCTCGAGAGTCATATCCAGCAATATGTCGCTTGCAAGTTAGACGATAAATCTCCCGGATGCGAGCTCGTCTTGCAGCCATTTCGCGTTGAAGTGAAAACGAAGCGAAAAAGCCATGCCGAGAACCAACTTTCCTCAGAATATTCCAACTTTTTCAACCGGCCGTATCCGAGGAGGCTTTATGTTTGATGAGCTTACAAAATTTAAATTTTAGTATGTCCGGTACTTCTAGTTAGCAATCGTAGAAATTCTCCGAGTTTAGAAAAGAAATCCAATCGAAAAGAAGTCGGGTCATAAGTGAGTGCTTTCACTGGCAATACCCCAAAGGATCATTAAGTGCATTTACATTTTTTTATTGATTCCTAACTTTTTTCACACAATTTCTGAAATAGTGCATGTATCCTAACTGACTTTTATACGTTGTCAATAACGTTCGTTAGCTATATCCACAGTCAGTACTCCCTTTACCAGTTCAACCATGTATCTCGCGTTCAATGAAAAACATCAAAGTTTTTAACTCTGAGGAGCTTTTTGGTAAATGAGTCATCGCGTAGAGCATTTCATCCACTTAAATCCTTCATATTTACAAACACCCTATGAAAGAGTTTCGAGTTTTATCAAGTCGCCTTTAAGCAACGAACCCATTAGACTATTAATAAATTAATGCTTCAGTAGCTTGTTTTAGTCTTCTTTTTCAATAACCTGCTCGTGTGCTGTAGCCAGCTTAAATTGAGTGAAAACGCTTGTTAAATAGTAGGATCAGAATATTTATGACATTTCGGAAATAAGAGTGTAATCACTGTAAAAACCAGGCTTTTAAAACAAATGACAATTTTGACAGCTTTGTAATCGAATAAAGGATGAACGAGTGCATGTTTTCGAGTTTTGGTGACATCCTTCTTTCCCTGTAGCGTTGACGACGTGAACTGCTTTAATTTGCTTTTAGGCTGCCGACGTTGTCTTTGACAAAATTCTCGCTACAAGATCGACCTTTAATCTTGTTCTTCCAATAACTCGTCACCAGTTCTCCTTTCTCTCTTTGAGTACAGCGCAAGCAAAACTGTTGCACTTCAGCTGTCGTTAACTAACCATAAAAAAGCAGCTTTTTTCGCACTTTTGGGCCTTAAACAGTTAAGGACTGGTATGCAGGCCAACATTATCTGCAAGCTAAAGAAAATCCTTGCGCAATATCAAAATAAGCCCTCTATCACTGGCAACTGACTTCCAACAACCTGTCTTTATTACGTTTTATTGTTGTTATTATTGACCCTCGTAGGTGTTGCCAGTGATGGGCATGAAACCTCAAGAATTGATAAAAACGAAATTAGATGAGACGTAACAAGGTTACATGTGGCAACCGGCAAGAGGCAAAACTTTAACTCGAAATATCCGGGTCGGGAGGTCAGTCTTAAAAAGCATGGCGAATATTTTTAAGTGAAATTGTTTATGCAAGTGAGGCAGGAAATCTAAGCCAGATACTTGGAGTCGATGCTAATCAATGCATAAATGAAACGAGAGCAAAATTTTCTGAGGACTCTTAACCAGGTTTCTTTAACTATCCTTACTGGTTTTTCGAATTCTCTCATCTGTTCGTGTAGGTAAACCATTCAAGTAAGACTTGTTCTGACAAGAAGTTACTTTTGATCGAAAAGTCTCCATCCAAATACCTCACCAAGAAACTCATGATTTATTTCACAAACATATAGACGGAAAATAAAATAACTAAATTAAAAAAAAAAATCACTGAAAACTATACGGGAAACGTCAGCTCAAAACTGGAGTTGATACACACAACAATATCCATAATCAAAGCTAATTTCAAGCTCAGAATAAGATTGCCATGTTTTTAAATGAGATGGCAATTAAATAGAAACAAGTTCGTTTAAAGGCTGTTAACTTTTCAGACGAAGTATGGCTCTGTTATCTTAAACAGTCCTTACGCCCCGACGGCGTCTAAGAACAAGGCGCATCCAATCTTAACAAATTGACAAACTTGACCTCTTCTTGTAGATAGTAAGCCCCTCTCGCCGCTTCAGGTATTTTCGCTTTTGGTAGTTTCAAATCTTCTCCTTCCGCTTTCTTCACCTTTTCGTTCAGGTTTGTCGGAGCAGAGAACAGCCTGACGTGTATTTGTGCATCTCTTTTCCCGATCTCCTTCTCCGCTTTGGCTTCCAACTGGAATCTTGTCATATTCTTCTTGGCCTGTTTGCGCATATCTTCAATATCGTCCAAGTTATCAAAGCTCTTGTCACATTGCTTTTTAAGTTCATAAAATTGTCTTTGCAATTTTTTGATCGGTCTTTCCTTCTCATTGAATGGATAACTTGCTCTTGCAACGAAATCCTCGCTAACAATCGAAGCCATTTCGGGTATTTTTAACTTGCAAGCTGTACTAATCGAAACGCAAGGGAAATTCTCCTCTACTTGTTGTAAGTGACGTACCAATCGGACCGTTTTCATATTCTCCTTGGCCTGCTTGCACATATCTTCAAAATCGTCCAAGTCATCAAATTACTTGTGACATTGTTTTTTAAGTTCATAAAATTGTCTTTGCAATTTATCGATCTGTCTTTCCTTCTCATCAGATAGATAACTTGCTCTTGCCACAAAACTTTCGCTGATAACCGAAGCCATTGCAAGTACTTTTCGCTTAAAAGGTTTACTCTTTTTTTCTAGCTTAGCAACTGTACTAATCGGAACATAGGCGAAGTTTTCTTCTACTTGTTGTAAATGACCTAACAATCGGACCGTTTTTCAAGCGCGCGCTCAGTAAGTCGAGGCGTGTGCGCGCATTTTTCAGCACGAGGAATAACAAAAAGAAACAATTGGGAAAGCCTATGGCTCTTCCTGTCATAACATCTTTGAGAAATTTTATGAGAAGAAAAATCAAAGGCTGAACACCAGTTTAATGACCGGGATAGGGAATTTATTGTTTATGTCAAATGTTTTCATTTGTCTTCTACTTTATTTGTAAGCGGAGAGTCCCTGCGAACAACATGGTCGTTTTTCTGTGAATCAAAGCAGTGGTTAACATTTCCTCCACGAAATAATACCTCTATGAAAAATGAAGATATATTGGCAGTAATGACTAAATAACAATGGCAGCAGTGATTATTGGTGCAGTAAAACGTAGGGGGGCAGTATATCGAGGAAGCAAAGTGTAAAAAAAAAGCTGGCAACAAATTGTTTATCAGGAGCTATCACTTTATGTGGCATGTACTGTTTGATTAATTAGCTGATTTTTTTTGTGCTGTATTTCTCCGTCCATATTACAATATACTAAGACATGGAATATTGTTCTTTTCAAGCATAATGCCTGTAGGCCTCAAAGGACTCCAAACTCTTTGCAGACTTGTCATCGTTACTCTTTGCCTTTCCTCTTTTGGGCGGGTTAAGGATTTCAGAACAGCCTTCCTTCTTGGGTTCTTTGACGCATTCGACATAATTTTCGATGTGTTCTTCAAGAAAGGCGAGTGGTGAAGAACCTTGACTCAATACCTGAGAAATAAGTTAAAGAAAAGCTTTTAATTTGGACTGTGCGAGCAGATATTTGTCAGTTTTTTTAGTTCTGTAACGAAATGAGGTGCGTAAACATTTAGGCCCTTTGCTAGTAAAAGAGAAAATGTGGCTGCAGAAATGGAACAATTTAGGATATCAGACTAAACAAATAAAACAAACGAAATAAAAAAATAAATTAACAGACAAGAAAAAAAAGTCCCAGCATTTTGCAACCACGACTCACAGAAAAAAATAAATTGACTGAGGATACTTTTTCTCTACCTCGTATAACGACGATAAATCCAAATCCAAATCATTATGTGTATCATATTATGTCTATTTTGTTATTCACCTGGTAGTGGAAGTCTTTGAGATCGAAGTCTTTACCCAAAGCAGTTTTTGCATGATCTCTATTTTTTAGAAGGGCTATCCTGCCAACCATGTACGCGGTCGACTGGCCTGGCCAGCTCTGATAACGTGTTACCTGTTACATAGAAGAAATAATATCATAAAATTCTAATTTTTTTGCGAGAGCATATCACAGTGATTACTAGATCGCGGCCACTCTGAATCGTTTGCGGCATGCAGTTTCCTTAATAAGTATCTAAATCTGTTTCATCTTTCTTGGCAATGTGCAGTGCAAGTGTTAAACACAATAACAGCTCTGCAATGTCCGTCTAGTGCTCGAAGTAACTTCCTTGCACATCCACTTCGTTGTGGGACGATGAAGGAACGTGACCTTATGAATTCTGCTATGGAATTTATGACAAGCTCTGACTTCACTTCGCCTTAACTACTAATAATGCCAACGTAGGAAGTATGGACTCAGCGGAGTATTCGTTTGCATCACGAGATCGCATCAATCCCTGAGTGGGTTGCAGAGAAAGTACAAGGAATAGAGGAGAGAAAAGTCAAGCTAGCAAATGAACGCTGCAAGAGCACTGTAAACTATCTCATCCTTTCACCCTTGAGCCGAAAACACTCTCCTCACCTCTTTACGAGTGAAGTCAGAGTCATCCCAAGCGTTATCGACGAATAACTTGATAGCTTCGTCTCTTTTCATTCCTGTGTAGTGGAGTCCTGTGTCTACGATCAGTCTTACTGCTCGCCAGATCTGAAAACGCAGAAACGTCAGCATCGATACTTCTACGAGGTGACTTTCTCTCTACCGGATTTTCGAGTGCTGGTTTTCGCGGAGGGAGCAAAACGGGAGAACCCAGGACAAATCCCTGGAAGGCAAAGAGAACGGAACAAACCCAACCCAGATATGACGTGAGGTCAGGGACTCGAGTCCAGGGTACAGCGGTGGGAGACAAGCGCTTCCATCCATGCGCGATCTCCAGTTCAACTATCATTTTATCATTTTCTTGATTATCGTCCTTACTAACCTGCCATTTCAGCATGCCATACTTTTTCAGTGGTCTTCCATCGTAGACATCAGTATCGTCTGATATTAATGGATTTTCAGCATATAGACTCCATCCTTCCAAAAACGCCGTGTAGTATGTCTTGGAGCTTAACCAACTGATTGTACCTCCACAGGTGTCTTTAAAGTGCTCTCTATTCCCTTGGATCTACCACAGTAAAAATTGTAAGTGACATCTGAAATGATAAGAACTGTCTGAAAGAAAGTCGAATTGCAGGAATTTCAAAAGTAAACCAAACAACCCGACTTGTTGTAAAAAGATTTAGTTGTGCTACACCCGCGAGGTAGCTCTTTGCAAACTGTTCCAAGGTCAAATTGCATTTTGAGGTGTTAGATTTTGGGAAAGGAGGATATACAGATCATCGGAGAACGAATATTAACCTCAACTTGACTCGGGAATCGAATTCAGGTCACAGTGAAGCCAATGGTCATGCATTGTGCATTCAGACTTTCAGAACCAAGTCGTCTCAAAATAATTGAAAAATAGTCAAAGCGTTTAAAAACGCATACCTCATTTTTGGTAAAGTTTTAAAAAAAATGATAAATCAACAGTATACCCGTATTAAAATAACCTTCGAGTTCGAAAAGTTATGACTTTCCCTTCCCCTTTCTGTGCCTTTTCAACTCTCTAGTAATTTCACCATGTAAGTTAATTTGGTTACCAACAAAAGAGGACACAAAAGCATATCTTGAAAAAAAAAAAACAACAACAACAACAAACGTAAATTTAGAAATTGTCACCTGGATATGGTGACCTGGACGAGCTTCATGGGCATTGACACTCCACTCAGAAAACCTTGGCCCCAGTCTATCCAGGAAGAAAGGAATGTTGTAATGGGCAGGCTTTGTGCACATTGAATCACTTCCGTCGTAGCTCTGTATACCACTGGATGGGTTCAGGTCTGGTCTTAGTTCTACAGGACAGTTGGGTGTTGAGTGTTTGTCTCCAGC